AAAGAGGGAAGGCAGGAGGGAACAAGGAACAGTGTACAGGGCCTTTTGCTGCCTGATGCTCTAGAGCCTCAGAGGGCTGAACTAGGACTCACTGCTTCTCAGAGCAGCTGTGGGGAGCTATGGGAATGGGCTGGGCTGGGTTTTTTGGTTTCTTTCTTTCTTTTTTTATTATTGTTCTTATTTTATTTTGTTTTTTATTTTTATTTTTTTTTCAAGACCAAAATAAATTTGGTTTTCTTTGTTTAACAGTCCTGGCTGTCCTGGAACTCACTCTGTAGACCACAGCGAGTTCAAAGCCTGCCTCTGTTTCCCAGGTACAGGATTAAAGGCATGTGCCACCTGGCCTGGCATTTGTTTGTTTGTTTATTCTTTTCTTTTTAAAGATTTATTTATTTATCATTTATACAATAAAAAGAAGGCACCAGACCTCATTATAGATGGTTGTGAGCCACCATGTGGTTGCTGGGAATTGAACTCAGGACCTTTAGAAGAACAGCCAGTGCTCTTAACCTCTGAGCCATCTCTCCAGCCCTGTTTGTTTATTCTTAACAGAATCTTTAGCCCAAGCTGGGCTGGAACTTGCCACCAAAAATGACCTTAAACTTGAACTTGCAACCCTCTCCTGCCTCCACCTGAGTAGGAAGATTACAAGTATGCCTCACCACTCTCCATTTGATGAGGTGCAGCGGGTTGAGCCCAAGGCTTCATGGGTGCTAGACAAGAGCTGCACCAATCCAGCTACAGTCTTGTGCGACAGAACTTCTGGAGAGATGTGACACACATCCCTACAGCAGATCAAAGTACGGGGAGCAGCTAGGGTCAGCGTGGTGAGCCAGTGTTACCTACAGGAATACAGGTGAGGCATTACTTCCAGGGGCAGGAACGACTCCAGGACAGCTGCATCCCCAAAGCCCACCCCAGCATGGGTGACAGCTTACAAAGCTGGGAGCCTGGGGCTCACTCACAGCCTGCAGGGAGCTGTCCTTTCCGGGTGATTCTGGTCTAGATCATTTCCAGGCAGCTGGTCTCAGACTCTTTTTTTGCAGCTCAGCTTCTGTCTGAGAGGAAACTTCAGTTTGTTTGTTTGTTTGTTTTATAATTTTATTTTATATGTTACTCTGGCAGAGAGGGGTACAGTGAATCTGGCCAGTTTCAGGGACTTTGAGTTTTTTACTTTCTTTCTTTTTTAAGATTTATTTATTTATTATTTATACAGTATTCTGTCTGAATGTGTGCCTGCATGCCAGAAGAGGGCACCAAATTCCATTAGAGAGGGTAGGAGCCACCCTGTGGTTGCTGGGAATTGAACTCAGGACCTTTGGAAGAGCAGCCAGTGTTCTTAACCTCTGAGCCATCTCTCCAGCTCCTTTCCTATTTAAAGAGCTTCCCTGCAGGATGGAATGTTTCATTCTTGGCGGAAATTGTTACATGCACACCTCCCAGCTCATTCTTATTTTATGTATATGTGCACATGCGTGCACATACATGTATGAAAAACACAGGACGACTTGCTGGAGTCAGCTTCTCCTTCCATCCTGTCCTCCTTTGTTTGGGAGCAGAGATGGAACCTGGGGCCTCCTGTGTGTGAGCTGAGCTCTAATCGTGGGAAGGGTCCTACCCAACAGCCCCACTTAAGGACAGACTTCTGAACAATGGGCAGAGGGTGGTGATCAGGGCAGGGCAGCAGGTCCCTAGGCAAAGGCAGCCATGAGTACTGGAAGGGAGTAAGTACCAGGAGCCTTTGAAGCTAGCTCCTGACGGCCAAGGCCTGGAGACCAGCAGGACAGACAATGCTGGAGCCAGACCTCTGCCCCCAGCGTGCCTTCCCCATCTCCTGCCCTGCAGACAGCAGCCTGTGTGCATCCTTCTGCAAGCAGAGGCAGAGCCCTGGGTCCTTAGCCAAGGCTGCTTGCCAGGCCGGGGGCCTCCTGGGCAGAGGCAGGTGAACCCCGTGATGTGATTCTGCCTGGAGGGGGGAGGGGGAGAGTTGGGCATGGGCCCCTTGGAGATCTTCCTAAACATTGCTTGCTGTCTGGCTATGTGTGCCAGGTTGGCTCCGGCTCCCGGTGTGTAGCCTGGACCCTCTGCCAGCTGAGTCCAGATGTGTCAGGACAACCCAGATGCCAGGAGCTTCCTTCTCCTACTTTCTTTTTCTCCTTTGTTTTTTGAAAAGAGGATCTCACTGTGTGACTTTGGTTGGCCTGGTACTAACTCTGTAGATCAGGCTGGCCTTGAACTCACAGAGCTCCAGCTTTCCTCTGCCTCCCCATGCTTGGGTTTATGCATGCAGCACTATGCCCCGCTTCTCCCTCTACTCCGTGAGAGGTGCCAGGATCACAGGGGCCTGATCCACACTTCACTCCGGACCTGTGACCCTCACACAAGCCTGGGCTGCCAGTGAGACCTGATCATTAAGAAGAGGAGGGGGAGGAGGAAAGAAAAAACTCAGCCCCAGTAGTGACCCGTGGGCAGCTCACGTGCCTCCTGACGACATGCGCTGAGGACTCTGTTTACCTCTGTGCTGTTCTTGCCCAAAGCCGCAGCAACTCCGGCTTCGTCATGAGAAAAACATCAGATACACCCAAATTGCAGGATCGTCTACAAAACACCGACCAGAAGGCCTCAAAATTGCCCAGGTCAGGAAAAACAAGGAAAAACTGAACATCTGAGTCAGACAAAACAGGGAAGTAAGAGGGCGGAAGGCAGAGGGCACGTGCGGGCTTCGTGCGACCCAGGCGCTGCCGGTCACGTGGGTGCGGTGGTGAGAGAGGTACCACCTGGACCCCAGCTCCATAAAAAGCCAAACCTTAAACCCAAAACCGATCCGGGGCTGAGGATGTGGTTCAGTCGGGAGGGTGTGCCCTAGCACGAAGCCGTGTTCCAGCCGCGTGAACCTTTTGTGGTAGCACACGTCTGTAATCTCAGCACTGGGAGGTGGAGGAAGGAGGAGGACTCCTGTTCAGGGTCATCCTTGGTTACACTGTGAGTCTGAGCCAGCTTGGACTGCATGGCCGTGCTTAAAAAAAAACACCAACGATGCCACACAGAGACTGGGGTGTGGCCTCGGAGGTAGAGCGTATTTTTGGAAAACAGAACAGTCAGGAGGAGGAAGAAAGACTAGCCCACATTACCCGAAAGCCTTGGCCAGTATTCCTTCCTGGCCACCCACGGCTGAGGCCACTGATTTCTTCTGTTCCTTCCCCTTTCCTTCTCCTTTTTAGGGGAAACGGAGTCTCACAATGTAGCTCTGGCTGTCCTGGAACTGGCAGAGATCCACCTGCCTCTGCTTCTCTGGTGCTGGGATTAAAGGTGTACGCCACCACACCTGGTCGCCTTCGGAAAGCCCTGAACAAGGCCATGGATCCCAACTTTTCCCACTGATCCCACCAGGCTCTGCACAACTTTGGGTCAGCGGAGATAGCCCCAGCTCCCATGGACTCCAGGGTAGACCCCACACAGCCCAGCCTGGTTCTCAGGCCTCTGCCTATGGCTTATTGCTACCATTTGGATTTGAGTGTCCCAGACACCAAGGTACTAAGGGGTCACAGCCCCAGGCAGTGTTAGAGGTGGTGGAGAATAGCAAATCCATCTAGGAGGTGTTAGGTCATTGGGCCATGTTCTTGAAAGGGAGAGAGACATATACCCCTCCCTCTGTCTGCCAGGCACACCCACCATGAATTACCACGCTGTCATAGGCCCAAAGCAACAGGGCCAGGTGACCCTGACTGAAACCTCGGGGACTCAAAATAAACTTTTTTGTTTTTCGAGACAGGGTTTCTTTGTGTAGCCTTGGCTGTCCTGGACTGGCTCTGTAGACCAGGCTTAAGCTTTCCTCCTTAGGTTGCTTATTTCGGGCATTTCGTTGCAGTCACAGAAAGCTACCACACTCAGTAGGGCCTACCAGCACACACGAGCCCCGGATCAGTCCAGAAGAAACCATGACTCAGGCCAGTCCAGTCACAGAGAAGCCTACGACTCCACCTGGGAATTCTGACGGTTTTCTTCCGTGCTGGGCCCTGTGGAAGCCTTGGGAGGAAGCTGATGTTAAGAACTAGAGTAGAGAGGCGGGAAGAGCTGGGTTTTCACTGGCCGCAATGAGCTCCTCAATCCAGCCTGCAGCTCAGTTTCCTCCCTCACGTTTGTTATGACATCTGTGATGGGCTGAAAAAATGCCTACAGTGTGTGTTTATGCTCCTATTCTTTGGACTTGTGAATATTACCTTTTTGGTTTGTTGTTGTTTGTTTTGTGTTGTTTTCAAGACAGGGTTTCTCGGTATAGCCCTGTCTGTCCTGGAACTCTCTCAGTAGACCAGGCTGGCCTTGAACTCAGAGATCCACCTGCTTCTGCCTCCTAAATGCTGGGATTAAAGGTGTGCACCATCACCGCCTGGCTAGTGTTACATATTTAAATTGTGTGTTGGGGGCTGGAGAGGTGGCTCTGGGGTTCATGGGACCTGGCTTTGGTCCCCAGCACTCACATGGTGGCTCACAACCATGTCAGGGAATCTGTCAGGGAATCTGTCACCCTCTTCTGGCCTTCCCAGGTACTGCATACACAGGGTGCACAAACCTAGCCACAGGTAAAACACCCATACACATAACATAAACTGGAAAAAAAAAGTTTTAAAACAAACAACCAAAACAAAACAACAGAAACACGGAAGACGTATGTCTGTAGGTGGTTTTGCCAGGACTGTGATGGGAGGCCATCTGGGTGGACTCCAAATGAAGCCACAGGCTCACAGCTCGAGGCAGACAGAGGATGCGCAATGGGACTGGGATTTGCCTGCAAGCGTAGCTCACTAGCAGCCACCAGGTACACAGAAGCAAAGAACAATTCTCTCCTGAGACCCTGCCCGGGCCCAGTACGACCTCCACCTGAAGCTCAGCCCAGGAGGCTCATTTTAGAGCCTGGCTTCTGAGCTGTGGTTGGATAGTTTCAAGGCCCCCCAGTTGGCGGTGCTTTCTTGGCACAAGCCTCAAGAGGAGACTACAAAAACTCATGGAGTCACTTTAATATTCAAGCCTGCTTGGATCAGACACTTTGCTACTTGGAGGGGAAAGTAGCAGGTTGACACACAGCCCCTCTGCCCTCAGGGCACCTGGAGACAGGTGACCACAGACACAATGGCCAGCACACTCTTGCTGGGGCTGGGGTGGGGCTCTCCGGGCAGAGAAGCCAGTGCAAAGGCCCCGGGCTCAGAATGTGTGTAAGCCCAGGCTGCCAGGTCGTATTTACAGAACAGTCGCCACCCAGCGCCCAGACACACAGAAGCCCACCAGCACGGAAGCGGATTGAGCCGGGCCCCAGTCCAGCGTCAGGCAGGCGGGTCTCCCAGCTTGCTGCTGGCATTGCTGACCCTCTTGTTCTCTCGGAGGTTACGCAGTCGGGCGCTGAGGCTGCTGATCTCCTCCACGTGGGCCTGTGGCACCCACCCCTTCTCACCATCAGCCAGACGCACGCCCTCCAGCCAGCCTAGGGACACACAGCAGTCAGTTTCATTGTCATGGAAGGGGTGCTGGGCAGGCCTGGGAGGGGACACCTGGGCCGGGGGCTAGCCTGGGGCCAGATGACATTACCACAGCATGTCACCAGTTCCTGGGAAGGACCCCACCTCTCTGAGAAGGGACTTTCCCACTCTCCCCCATCACTCTCCAATTCCAAGCAGGAAGTTCCTCCTCTGGTCTAACCAGATTCCCAAAGGCTGTGGCTGATTATGTATAACCTTCCCCTGTGATGGGTTGACAGGACAGGGTCCTGCCCCTCAAAAGGGCTGTCGGGAAGGCCCGGCTCTCACCATCGCTGGTCCGGGTCTTCACTGCCAGGATGTCTGTCTTCTCCAAGGTCAGCTCATCAGGCTGCAGGGCCTTGTAGGTCCTCACACACTGGACCTGGGGGCAGTCTGAGAGCCGAGAGAGGGTCCCAGAGTCCCCAGGTCAGAGGTGGGAGGCAGCGGGAAGAAGAAAATAGGGGAGGGGACCACAGTGGTTCCTCTGCCCATCCCAGACAGGAGGCTCTGACCTCCCCAACTCACTGCAACACCTTGTACTGATCTCGAGGCTCGCCCACAAACTCCAGATGCCCCACCCCAGGCTCCAACAGTCCTCTGGGTGTCTAAAGTTCCAAAGACCTCTCAAGACCCACAGGGCTCCGTGGGAGGCAGCCGGAGCTGGCTCGGCTCACCTCACCATCCAGCCCGCTTCCCCCTCAGGCTCATACAGCTCCAGCCACACAAGGGCTGAGCCACTGGTGCCCTCTGCCAGGAGGATCTCTCTCCACCCTTAGGATCATTTCCCAGCAGCCTCTGTCCACCACCTGTTTGGAGTAGGGACCTGGTCCTCAGCCTCAGTGGGACTCAGAGCTCAAGCAGAGAATCTGTCCCATTCCAGGCCTCAGCTCTGTGATGGAGTTGAGGGGCAGGCAGGATTGTGGCAAACAAGTTTGAGCCGGGTGTGGTGGCTCATGCTTATAATCCCAGTACATAGGGAAATTGAGGCAGGAGGTGTGCTGTGAATTCAGTGCCAGCCTGGGCTGCTCAGCAAGATTCTGTCTCAAAAAGGAAAAAAGGAAGGGAGAGAAGGAGGAAAGAAGGAAGGGAAGGAGACCAGACCTGGCCCAACTGCAGCTCTGACAGCTACTGGCTGTATGACCTTGGGCAAATTACATCAGTTTGCTGAGCCTCAGTTTTCAGAGATGTGAAAAATGAAGACAGTGAATCTAGCTAACAAGATCACTATGAGGATTAAATAAAGTGAGTGAGAATCCAGTCCCCAGCCTGACCCATAGCACATGCTTGCTGGAATGTGTCTCCCTAGCCACCCCACCCTCTTAGACCATGGCTGTCCTCAAATACCTTCTATGGCTACCACTGCCAAGATCTCCAATTAGATGTAGCCTGACTTTCCAGCCTCATATCACACCCAAGGGAGCTGCCTCCATCCTTCACCCTGCTACCGCCATCATGCTGATGCCACTCCCACACCCTATATGCACCAGGCCTATCTGCTCTGTGACTGATACAGACAGACAGTCAGCTGTGGGCTTCAGACCCAGCTCATTCTAGCTAGGAGGACCCAGACTAGGAGCTTGGCCTCTCTGACTCTTTCATAGTCTGCAAGATGGGTCTATGGGATTGGCCTGTGCAGCTTGCCCAGCTCTGATTGGTCTTCAGAGCCACCGCAGATGGTCCTGGGTCCTACCTTCCCCGTCCCAGGTGACCTCCTTGTCCTCCTGGGAGCTGGATGGACGCAAGGCTGAAATCCACCGTTGCTTCTCACTTCTAGGGAGGGGGAGGTGTGGTTATAACAGACTAGGTACAGAGGCCCAGAGCAGGGCTGGGAACCAGAGCTGGGAGAGCTAGGGTTAGCCCGCTACATGCAAGGCTCCTCCCCCAGCTTCTCTGGCCACTCCGACCTCATGCCACTTCCCTGACAGAGGGGGCACAGCAGCTGGTGCCACCTGCCAGAATTCAGGCACTGCTCTGCCCACCCAGCCTAGCTCTCTGCCCCAGGGGTACAGCACTGCCCTTGCTTGGGGTTTGAGGTGCTTACTCAGTACGAGCTCGCAGCAGCAGCTGGTGCCTGGCGCGCTGCCCATGCAGCAGCCTGAGCAGGAACACGTGGCCTGGAATACCCTGCAGCTTCAGGCTCAGGTCTCGAACCTGCAGCTCAGCCATGTTGGCATGGACGAAAACGGCAAACTTCCCAAGCCTGGAGGACAGACAACAGGGCAGGAAGGTCAACAGAGCCTGGGTGCTGCCCTCAGAGCCACCTCAGGATTAGGTGAACTGATGGAGGGAGAGGGAAGGGCTCTTTGCTCTTCCAGGCCTGACTTCACTGGGTGCCATTTCCCAATACGCAGTAAGGTTCCCATCAGGGCATCCAAACAGAGCTCAGGAGGCTAAGGTTGTGAGTTCAGTCGCTGGCAGAAGATAATGGAAGCCAGCCCCCTGCCCCACATACACTCTCAAAGTCTTTCTGCACCTCTCCCTGGCACCAGCTGGACTCCCATGTGGCTTTGCACTAAGTCAGAGCCAGGTGCTGCTGAACCTGCAGGGGAAGAGGCGGGGCCTGGTTTGTTATCCCAGCCCAGAAACTTGGCCCAGCTCCCCTGCAGCGCTGCGCGCTGTGCAGAAGGCCACCGTCATGTCCACCTCCCCTGTACACTCGCTAGTATGGCTCCCAACTTTTCTAATGCTGCGACACTTCAATGCAGTCCAAGTTGGGGTGACCCCCACCATAAAATTATTTTGTTGTTACTTCATAAACTGTAATTTTGCTACTGTTATGAATCGTAATGTAAAGATCTGTGTTTTCTGATGGTCTTAGGCGACCCCTGTAAAAGGGTTGTTCAACCCCCAAGGGGTTGTGACCCACAGGTTGAGAACCCCTGCACTACAGGGAGCAGGTCCCTCCTTCCTCGGCCTTCCTGTTCTGGCGTCTGTCTGTCCGTACTGAAGCACCTGCCCCTCTTGGCCATCTATGCTCACCTGGGCAAGAGCTTCTGGTGTCTTCCACCACTCTTCCCTCTACCCCTGCATACCACACCCCTACCTCAGAACAAGCCCAGGCTCTACTGTGACCTCAACATCTCCACTCCCTCCTCTTGGCTTTCTCTTTTATTGTTTGTTTGTTTGTTTGGAGACGGGATTGCACTATGTAGCCCTAGTTGCCATCTATGCAGAGCAGGCAGGCCTCCGTCTCTGCCTCCTGAGTGCTGGGACTAAAGGTGTGTGCCACCATCCTGGCATACTGCCCTTTGTCCTCCAGTCCACAGCCTGGCTTCACCACGCCCCAGACACACGCTGCTCTGCCACAACCTTTCTGTCTTTTCCAAACCACTTCTCTTACTCTTCAGAACCCAGCTCAGGGGATAGGGAGATGGCGCCACGGTGAAGAGCACTCATGGCTCCTCCAAACTCACAACTCTGTAACGCTGGTTCCAGGGGACCCGACACCCTCTTTTGGACCCTTTGGGCACTGCACACACATGGCACAGATGTACATGTAGGCAAAACACCCCTATACATACAATAAATCTTAATTAAAAAAAAAACAAAAACAAATAACAAAAAACAGCTCCTCTGTCTCTTCCTCTGGCAAGTTTACTCATTTTCAGCTCATGCTACTGGTTAGTTGTAGCACATCTTTTCCTTAAAACAACCACCTGCAACTCCAGTTCCAGGGCCTCTCCCTCCTCTGGCCTCAGAGGGCACCTGCACATACCCACAGCCAGACATGTAATTAAAACAAACCAAAACCACCAAATGGCAGCTCGCCCTCCTAATCCAAACACTCAGGAGGCTGAATGTTTAAGTTTGAGATTGAAACAAACCTGAGCCATGGAGGGGGTTTCAGGTCAGTGTGGAATACAGAATGAGACCCTGTCTTATAAGCAAAAACAAACAAGAACAAAGTAAATAACTAGGCGGGGCTCGGTGATGCACACCTTTGGCCTTAGTGCTTGGGAGGCAGAGGCAGGCAGATCTCTGTGGGTCCTAGGCCAGCCTGCTCTACATAGTGCGTTCCAGGCTAGCCAAGAGTTACTTAATGAGACCCTGTCTCAAAACTAAAATTTTGTTCAACAACAACAGAAAAAACAGTGACACAGTTATCAAGATGTGTGTCCATGGACCTAGGGTTCCCGTGGACAGAGAATAAATCCCATCCGCATTCACATGTGCGGAAGCCAGAACACAGCATGGCAGTTGCAGGGGCGCTTTACCAACTGAACAATCAGGAATGGACTTTTCTCTTAGTTTAAGATTCCTTGGGCTGACCAGGTAGCTCAGTGGGTAAAGACACTTAGTACCAACTCTGGTAACCTGAGTTGGATCGCCAGGATCCACATGATAGAAGAATAGAAGTGACTCCTACGAGTTGTCCTCTGACCTCCACCGTGGTGCACCGTGATGTCACATAGCCACACACAAAATAAAACACTAGAGCTGGGGGGAGGGGCCTTTAATCCCAGCACTTGGGAGGCAGAGGCAGGCAGATCTCTGAGTTCGAGGCCAGCCTGGTCCACAGAGTGAGTTCCAGGACAGCCAGGGCTACACAGAGAAACCCTGTCTCCAATCCCCCTCCTTCCAAATCCTCAACTTAAAAACAATTTTCAAAAGAGATCTTTCCTTTCACCCTCTCCCCAGTCTTATGCCCCCCCTAACTCTTCCTCTTCATCCTCCTCACTAGTAAACTCAGCTGTGGGGTCCTGTCCACACTGAGAAAGACAGGGCAGTGGGTACCAGTCTGGGGTTTGGCCATCTCCTTTACTTGCTAGTGCCCTGACCTTGAGACTGACAAGGGACTGGTTTGCCATGGAGAGGCACCTTCTGAATAGACGGGGACATGACATGCCTGCACAGCGGAGCCTCCTGAGTGCTTGCTGTTTACTGTCTCGGAACTAAGGGCAGAGTTGGGCCTGGCCGTGTGTCTGCCCTAGGCTCGGGAGCAGTTGCTAGTCCCCTGCACACAGTCCACCCCTCAACTCTGCCTGACAGATGGGCCCACCTCAGTGCTTCTGTTGCAGAGCCTCCGAGGCCCAGGACACTGAGGTACCCAGAGGCAAGCCGCCCCCCCCCCCCCCCCCGCATGATAGACAAAGGACGGACTCTCTGCTCTCCTGGGCCCCTCCCACCCCACTCACTCCTTCCTCCGGGACAGCAGCAGGCAGTCATTGAAGAGGTGAAGGTACACAGCCTTGCTGGACAGCTTCAGCTTGGCGGGCGGCGCGGCGGGCAGGGGGGCCAGCTCCACCAGCTCCCCATGCCGCACCAGCCAGCGGGCCTGGGAGATCAGTGGAAAGATCTGGAGAGGGCAGACAGTGGGGAGGCTAGTGAGGCAGGCGAGGCTGGCTGAGTTTCCAGCAGGGAAGGGAGGCCATGGGCAGTGACTACTGCCCCACCCCCGCCCCACGGGAAAGAGGATTGCTTTCCCTTGCCTTGCCCTCAAAGTGGATCTTCTTGCTCAGATGGATGAGTTCCTCTGTCCTCTTCATGGACTGCACGCTGGCGTTGCATTCCTGCACCAGCTGGGGGTGGCATGGGGGGTTATGTGGGCTCCCACTAGGGGGAGGGGAGGCCCCCAGGAGCCCGAAGCTCTGGCCCCTGAGCTCACCTCCTTGAGCGCACTGAAGGCTTTGGTGGCCATGTCCTCATCTTGGGAGCCCGGTGCCGTGCGCTTCAGGATGTTCTGGTGGGAAAGAGACATTTTCCTGGGTGCTGTAGTCACTGGCAAGGTCTCCACCAGTAAATAACCCCTCACACGCGTGTTCCTATGAGCTACCTCATTGGGTCACACACACACACACAAAGACATGAGAATGGAAGGAGGGCCACCTGGGAAGAGGAAGGAGGCCAGCGGGAGAGGAACCAGAGGGAAAAGGTGGCGAGTATGAAAGGCCTATATATGTATGGAAATGTCCCAATGAAACCTATTATGCATAATCAATACATGCTAATAAAAAGGAAGAAAAAAACATATAACAAGAACAGACCCTCTGAAAATGACAGACCAACGGTGGCGGGCACCCTCTCCCTCCCCACTCTTCGTGAAGGGAGCTACCTCCACCAGCATCTTGAGGCGGGTGACCCTCTGGAAAGGCAGGATGAGGAAGGAGGTGAGGGGCAGCCGCTGACAAACAGGAGACTCCTCTAGGTGAGCCAGGATGCCGGGGAACTTGGGGTTCTCTAGGCTGAACAGTGGGCAGGGCGTTCCGTCACAGGTGAGGCCCTCCGCACACCTGCCCCATACGCGATGGGGTCTCACTTATCCCGGACATGAGTGAGGCATCTTCCCGGGAGCCCCCCGCCTCACAGAGTGACCCTGCCCAAGGCCCCCACCCCACCGCAGAGCCCCTCCTACAGCAGGCGCTGGTAGGTGCGCTCCTGATAGGCTTGGTTGGTGACGTAGGGCAGGTAGACCCTGCGGAAGGCAGGGCAATGGTGCAGAACCACATCGCACACGCTGAAGCGCAGCACATCGGCCTCCAGACGCTGCTCCAGGTCGTGAAGAAACCTGCAGGGAGGGCCAAGGTCAAGGACAGCGCAACTACAGACCTCTGGCCTCACCCCTAGCCACGCCAGGTCACGCCCTCACCTCTCACTGGTGCTCTTGACCTCGGGCAGTTTGGAAAATAGCCACTGCTTGTCCTGAGCCCCCAGACACTCGCTCAGCTCCGCGGAACCTAAGAAGTGGCCCACGGCCACCGACAGGCTATGGATGTAGGAGGCCTCCGAGGTGATCAGCTCAAATTTGGCCTGAGGGAGAGGAGAGGCCAGATGGTAAGAGCAGAGCCAGGTCACCCGGGACCGGGGTCTCAAATCTCCTACCAAGAGGCAGCCTCTGTAGACACCACTCTCCCGCCCCTTCCCAGCCCTGCGGATAAGCCTGGCGCCAGGTGGGGCCCGGGCGCGCCCGAAGCTGCCAGCTGACAAGCTCCGTTACGGTAGGTCTTCCCAAAGCGCCCGCGTCGTCCGCGGCGCTCGGCTACGCCCCGCACCTGCCTTTCGGCGGGCTCCCAACCAGCGAGAGCGGTGTCCACGGCCCAGCCCCACCCTAGACCCCGCCCACTCCCCAGCTTCCCACTGGGGCTTACAGGACCCTTGCTTTCCCAGCTCCTCCCACACACTCCCCACGTTAATAGCGCCTCACCCCTACTAAGTCCTCGATCACCTGCCCCGCCCCGTCCTAGGCTCCGCCCCTCCACCCCCCTCTGGCTTCCCGGCTACCTTCGGGGAGCCTTACTTTTCCAGGCCTTCTCACCCACCCTTAGCTTTGACAGTCCCTGTGTGGGGTCGAGTCGCCCCAGCAACCACTTCTGGCCCCACCCCCTGGCATAGGCCCCTCCCCCGTTTTGGACCCTCTTGGCTTCGCAGCCAGGCTTTCCTTTCCAGGTAACCCCGACCCACCGTGCAAACTGACAGCCCCTCGTCTCCGCCGGTCCCCATCTCCTGCTTCTGGCCTGGCCCTATCCCGCGCTCCACCCGTCCGCCCCCTTTTCTGGCTTCCCCGTGGGCTCCCGAGTCTTTTTTCCCCAGGTTCTCCCATCCCTTCTCCACGTTGACAGTCGCTTATTCCCCGTGGGTCCCCATCTCCTGCCTCCAGCTCCGCCCCTCACCTCCTGCAATTTGCAGTCGCGCAGGCTCAGCGTAGCCAGGACGCCGCTGCCGCGCACGTCGGGGATGTCCTGCCACAGCGAGAAGGTGGAGCCTCGCGCCGAGCGCTGCGCGCGGAAGGAGCTGCTCGGGGAGAGGTTGGCGCGCGGCGGCCCGGGCCCCTCCTCCGCCCCGTCCCCGGGGCCCTCCTCCTCGCGCTGCTGCCGCCGCAACTCGCGCGCGCTGGCCACGTCGCTGTACTCCTGGTAGAGGACAGCTGGGCGGGGCGGGAGGTGGGAGCTCATTTAGCCATGCCAGAAACACAGTTAGTGGGCGCCAACTGCATGCCAGCCCACCTGCTAGTCACCGGCGGTGCAATTCTCTCCCTCGCACACTGTCTCCACCTCCCAACTCCCCCAAAGAGGCCTCCCCGGTTTCCATCGTTCCGGCCCCTTCCCCTCTGACCCCCTCGCAAGGATTTCGCACGTACAGTTAAGGAGGAAGCGGGACTGGCGCCGCTCAGTGGCGCTGCTGGGGTCCTGCCACGGCTTTTCGTGCATGTCGAGCCTAAGAAAGAATGTCAGGACCTCTGCATCCCTCCCCAACCCGAGCCCCAAGAAAGAGGTGGGGTACCTGGGCTCCAGCAGACCACCGTGAACCTCAGTTGGGTCGGCAGGTGCTGGCAGCGACACGCTCTCCACTGTCATCTCCGCTCTTCGGGATTCCCTCACAGGCAATTTCCCTAGAGAAAGCAAGAGCTGGGAGTGGGCGATCCAGAGAACATCCGGCTGATCACCTTAAGATGTTAACACGGGTGGGTAGGCCGTACCCTGCCCGCCTGGCTCAGGCTGCCCTCAGAGCCGGGGAGAATGGCTGGTACCTTCCCGGGTGACCGCAGCACCTGAGGCTGAGGTCAGAGCCCTGGTGGCCGTGCTGCTGCTGCGCCCCAGGCGCAGAGAAGAGTGAAGCCTGGTCATCAGCTCTGAGGCGGAGAAGCGCCTCCGCTCCTGTGCCTCAAGGCCCCCTCTGATGTTTCCAGAAAGCTCCTGAGCCCTGGGTTCTTCCGAACACAGAGCGTGCTCTTGCACAGCCTGACCGGTCTCCAGGACTGTGGAAGTCTCGGTGCCGCCGGTGGCTTCCTCATTATGATATACTTGCATCTTGCGCCCTAGGGGTGGGGATAAATTAACAGCTGTCACCCACTGTACTTTGTCCCATCTTCCTCCTTGTGGTGGCATGACCCTGAACATCAAAATGAGCTCCCCGGGGGGCAACAGATAGCAAGAGCTTTACAAGGAGAGCAGAGGGCCTGACTACAGAGGACAGGGGAAGTGGGGAGCGGGGCTGCCAGGCTGGTTATGTAATGTTGGCAAATCACTTGGGCCCGATGAGCCATCTTTCCCTTGTCGCTAAAACTTGTCCCGTCTTTTGGGGCATTCTGGAGTTTAAAGGGTTCACCCTGTCCCTCCCCTAGCTGCCCCAATGGGCCCACCCCCCACCAGGGTGACTCACAGGCTGACTTCCTCTCTGAGCCACCGTGGCTGGCCCTGCGTTGGGGCTGCATGTGCTGAGAGCTCCGGGGTCCCACCAGAGTGCCCGGGGGCTGGGCACCAGGACAGTGGGGCCAGCTGCCAGCCCTGCTGGGCCTCGTGCCTCCACTGGTGGAGATAGGGGTATCTGGGCCTCCTGGGGATGGCGGCCATAACAGTCCCTGGAGAGGGTCAGGGGTCGCCAGGGACCAGCGGCTACCAGGAGCTTGTAGTGACTCTGGAGCAAGGGGGAAAAGGTCCACGCACACTGGGCTCGGAGGCTGCAGAGTGGGCAGCTCCACAAAGGACAGGCTCTCCTGCTGGCACACCGCTACTGGGTGGCGGGCAGTGCCAGGTGGTCCAGCCAGGCGAGGCTGGAGGGTTGCAGGTGGCCCACAGTCCATTCTTCCTTTGCTCTGCCACGCTCCTGGGCCTGCAGGGGAGAAGGTATCAGACCCATATATAGAACAACAGGGAGGGCTGGACAGACCACGCTGTACACACGAACACAGCTACACAAACGCACTCACAGGACTATTTAGCAATCACCAATATTAATCAGTACTTGCTAACTGAGTAAGCACCCACACAGCATCTCATTTAACCCCCATCAACCTTAAGAACGGATGCTGGAGGTGAGGAGAGTTAGGTGCAGAGGTAGTTATCTCCCAAACAGTAGGGCCAGGATTCCCACACAGGCACCACGGCTTCCGAATCTGTGTTTTTTAGCCATCTTGTACTTTCTCTAACACATTGACAAGTGATATACAGATAACATAGGTTGTCACCCAGACTCATGTCCCAACACACAGCCACACATTTTCTCCTGGCACACATAGTTTCATAGATAACTTGAAACATTTCAAACTCGGATACACACTCACATACTTTTTTTTTCTTTCTTTCTTTCTTTTTTTTTTTTTTTTTTTTTTTTGCTTTTGTTACACAGGCTTAGATGTTTTCTCTTGGACACACACACACACACACACACACACACACACACACACACATGCTTCCTCACACTGTTCCAGGCACATACACACACCAGGATGTAGATACATACGGCCCCCAATGTCCTTGCTCTGAGGTTATCCGCCCCCTTTCATAGCCAGACTTGAGGCCTTCATGCTGAGTGATGCCTCCACCCTTGCCAGGCTGGCTGGGAGGTCACAGACTGGCAGGCGGGCCACCACCCAGATTAGTCCCTCCCAGGGAAGAGCAGGGAGATGCCCAATCCCCAGTTTGGATGACAGAGGGGCTTATCCCCCAACCCAGCTCCCAGACACTAGATCAAGCCAGGCAGAATGGGCCGTTTCCGGGCAGGACGCCATCCCCAGGCAGTTTGCCAGCACCCTGGGGCAGGATGATGAGCCCAGAGGTTCAAGACCCTCAGGCTTCTGCCCTGGGCCCTCCGTGGCCTCCCTCTTGCCCCTCACCTCTTCAGCTGAAGCTGTAGCCTGCTGATGGGGCTGCCTGCCTGCTCCGGCAGGGGAAGCCCTGTCTCTGCCCAGCTGGCTGGGGGAGATCCCACCCAGACAAAGAGTTTGATTCATCAAACCCTGTGGTGAGGCGAAGGGAGGGAGGGAGCAGGCAGCCGGCTGGGGCTGGGCGGGGGCCTACACTTGCCTGGCTGCACTGTGGGCAGTCTGGGCAGCAAGGACCCCTGCAGAGGCCCCTCAGGCCAAAAGGGCAGTGCCCAGTCTGGCAGAAATAAGAGGGAGACCCAGAGAAATAGCAGCCTTGGAAACAACAGCTCAGGAACCAACTCCAAGACTCTGAAGAAGAGAAACCACAGAGGCTGAGATGCTTGAGGCCCAGAGACAGATTGATGATGAGACCCCTTCAAACTTCAGACAGGTCCAGATACTCAGGCAGATGGGAAGTTCAAAAACAAACACAAACAAACAAACAAACAAACAATAACAGGGAGACTGATGAACAAATAGTAGCTCACACCCCGTGGGGTTGCCAGTCTGGTGGGGGAGCCAAAAACCAAAAGCAGTTATAATCTGAGTTGGCAAGAAACAAGCCACAGGCGCTAACACAGGAGGGGGCTGGGCCCAGTCCAATCTGAGTTTGCCAGGAAGGCTTCCTGGAGGAGGCCCTGGCTAACTGTTGCAAGGCTAAAACCCTCAAGGACCCAGCACAAAAAGAGGGGGCGCTACTCCCCAGCCTGAGCCAGTGACAACATCTCTGTGGATTTGATAAAGGGCAGCTGGGTGTCTGCACGGCACCCCAACTTCTTCTCCCAGCACTCCTGGCTTGGGAGGGTTGGGGGAAAGACTGGCTTTCCCTCAGGGGCCCTCCCCAAAACAAGACTCACTACGTTAGTCCCTCAAGTCTTTAGTGCCCATCTGGGAAGGTAACTCTGAACCTCTGTTTCCTCATTCAGGAGAGCTGGTACTCACTTCCTAACACTAACATAAGAACCGAGGGTGACGCCTCAGGTATGGAGCGTGGTGGCGGTGGGAACTTTGTCACTGTCCTATCCGGGTTGGTATTTCCTCAGTCTTTGGTGGGGGGACGGCCTGGGCCAGCAGCCAGTGGTAGGAGCAAGTGAGAGGGGACACTGTTAACTCATGCCCACCACACAGGTCTCCTTTACGTGAAAGTACATACCATGGCTTAGAAGGCCCCCTACCCCCAACCCGTCATTTATAAGGCTAAATAAACAAAACATCAGAACTTAAGGCAGAAGCATCTTAATTAGGACCTCAGAGAAGGCTGGGGGAGTGCTGAGGGAATGGGTAAGGTTTTCTGGAATACAGGATAAAGCCAGGGAGTGTCCTGTGGGTCTGCCTCCACAGCGCTCATGCCCAGGGGACAGGAGAATGGCCCTTCAAGCTGGGATGCCAGCCCAGTAGCTTTTCAGGATACAGACTACCCAACCTTGATGTTGGTGATTTGGGTCCTGAGCCAGGTTTAATACCGTGTAGCACTTCTCTGCTAATATAGAAACAAAAAGTCTCAAAGTCTCAGGGAGTACTGCCTGCAGGTGGCTGGGCACCCAGACATGACCCTGGGGCTGACTAGTGCTCATGAGGCAAGGGTCACTCTGGTTTGAGGCCCTGTGTTGATACTGACCAGCCCTGTGGCTTTACGGGAATTAGAAGCTCACCCTCTGTCCTTGTATCCTCACGTGTCAAGTGACCCCAAGGTCCCCCTGAAGCCTCCTCTATGAACCTGGGTCATAGGTGTCTCTGCAGGCTGAGACGGATTGGCAGAGGCCAAGGCATGGTCTTTGCAGAGGCACTGCTGGCTAAAGAGGGCAACAGGCCTGCCTAGTGAGTTGGCAGAGCAACCCTAGGCACTGCTGTTACCTGGTGCAGGACCTGTGGCCCCAGTACCCAGCCTTCCCCTCCCTGCTTAGTGCCCTTGGCTTCCTACTCAGAGAAACAGAGACCCTGCCAGAACCCCTTGCTCCTTCGGGGCCAAACTTAGTTGGAGGTCATGGCTTGAGAGGGGGTTCCAAGTGCAGCAGGGCCCCAGGAAGCCAGGAACGGGTCGAAGCCAGAAGCAACGGGCAGGCAGCACAAAGGACTCCCTGGGGACTCGGAAGGGGAGGATGGGCTGCTGACCCGGGGCCTACCTCAGCCGGGGAGCTCCTCCGTCCAGCTGCGGGTACAGTCCAGGGCTCCAGGCCACCCTGGGGGCAATGGGGTTTTAGCCAAGTCCTCAGAGGACCATGTCAGCATGGCTCCAGCGCTGGGCAATGCAAGCTCCTGGGTATTGTGTGGGGCAGGGAGGGGGGGAGGCGAGGGCGAGGGAGCCTTGCAGAGGCAGGCGGCTGTCTCGACGTGCCTGCTCCCCGCCCCCCTTCCCCAGAACCGGTTTGGCCAGTCGGGTACAAGAGGGGGCTGGAACAATGGGAGTCCTATGCCTCCCAGAGGCTCCGAAGGACCCCAGGCAGCTACCTAAAGATGGGGTTAGCTGGGTTCTGCTCCTGGGAGGTGGGCCACCTCACTCTCTGGACCTTCCTAAATACTGGTATAGGCGGTATATACCAGTCTCTGGACCTTGTGGGAGTGGAGGACATCCTTGAAGCTCTACAGAGGAACCTCAAAATCTGGACCCTTTCCACTCGGACCCTGAGACCTCTGCTTCTCTGTGAACCTGTCCCACACCTGTAAATTGGGAACAGTCAGCTGCATTGCCGAGAGACAGAAGTCAGTCTTGAAAGTTAGCCATCTTCTGGATGGCCCCTCCAGCTTGGCCGCTCCTCACGGTGACACTTTCCTGCTGGAAGGACCAGCCTCTAGCTGCCTGCCCAGTGAAACCTTCCCATAGTCCAGCCTACAGTTTTCATAAGGTCAATGACACAGCTGACGTCAAGGAAGCCTCCACGAGGGGGTAGGGAGTGGTCCCTGCTCCGTGCCAGGCACACAGCTTTGCCAAGCCTGTGGGAAAGGTAAAGCTGCTTCCTCTCGGTGCTGGCTGCTATGTGTGTGAGCACCTTGCAATTGCCAAGCCCGTGCTATTCCCAGGAGTATGTTGTGTTAGGATTTAGTGAGCACCAGTACGCCCAGCTTGCACAGTGTTGGGGGTTGAACTCAGACCCTCATATATGCCAGGCAAACACTCTACCAACTGAGCTGCATCTCCACGCCTCTAGCTAAGCCCTTCCTTTTGAATTTCTTTTATTTTATTGCATTCGTGTGAAGGTGTCAGATAACTTGGAATTGGGGTTACAGACAGTTTTGAGCTGCCATTGTGTGCTGAGAAGGTCCTTGGAAGAGCAGACAGTGCTCTTAACCACTGAGCCATCTCTCCAGCCCTATAGGCACTGCTATTACTGTTCCTATATCACAGGCCCTGCTGGGCTTCATGGCCAGACCCTTATGAACCCTCCGTCAGAGCGGGTCTTTCAGCTTCTAACTGATGAGGTTAAGCTCAGGGTGGATTCCTCCACTTCACCTGAGCACCATTACATCGTGAGAAGACACTAGAGTGAACTGGGGGAGATATAGTTATGTCAACATTGCACAGAGAACAGGAAGAAGGGGACGTGGAGGAAAAAAAACGCCAACCATCTCGTCCTCCTAAGAGGTACTACCCCGACCCCTCGATGGAAACCAGAGGGTTGGACCTTGGGGCTGAGCGGGAGCCCTAGAGAAGCTTAGAGGATTGTGCCTCCGTCGAATCTGGTCGGGTGGAGCAAGCAGGCCCACTCTCCAGAGGAGAAAACCTTCCCGCGTACCAGGAAAGTTCAAGGTAAAAGGGGGCGTGTCGAGGGCAGGACCAAGCGGAAATTATTGTAGGAATCTGTCCAATCCCTCCTCTCTGGAGGGCGGGACTTGAGAGAGCAGAGCCAAGGCTTGCGGCAGTTTAGGGGGCGTGGTCAGTCGGGCGTGGGTGGGGCCAGGGTCCGCGGGTCTTCCTGACCTAAAGCCATACCTCTTGGTGGACCGCCAGCCTCTCACTTGGACTTGGTAGGTAACACATACAGCAGGCACATTCCACAAGATCCCGACTGCCAGGCGCAGGAAGCTCAGAAGGAGCTAGGGAATGGAGGACCAGAGCACGACTACCTTAGCAATCTTTTTGTTCAGTTTCGTATACAACTGTAATCCCAGCACTCAGGGAGGCAGAGGCAGGCAGTGAGTTCCAGGCCTGGTCTACAAAGTGAATCCGGGACAGCCAAGGGTACACAGAAAAACCCTGTCTCAAAACAACAACAAGAAAAAAAAAAAAAAAACACAGTCTCTTAGGTAGCTTAGGCTGGCCTCAAACTTACTATGCAGTCCAGGCTGGCCTCAAACTCTAAATGTAGCTAAGGATGGCCTTGAACTCATGACCTTTTTGCTTCCACTTCTGAGTGTTTGACGACAAGCATACAGCTTGACAGTGAATTTTTTGAAAAATATTTATTTGGGGCTGGAGAGATGGCTCGATGTTTAAGAGAACCGGCTGTTCGTACAGAGGCCCACATGCAGGCAAAACACTCACACACATAAAATAACACAATTAAAAACAAGTAAATTTATCTTACGTCGTATGAGTGTTTGCTTGCATGCATGACCGCGTGGGTGCTGGGAACCTAAACTGGGTCCTCCCAAGAGGACCCAATACTCTTAGCCACTCAGCCATCTCTCTAGTTCCTTGGCAACGGATGTTCATAACCACCTTGTCCTGTGCTAGTATCTCCTCCTAGAGCAGACTGGCCAGCGTCAGAGCCTGAGCTCAACTATGTTGGCAGCTCCTAGACCCGCCGCTCAGCCTACCTTCAAGGGGATGACCAAGCCAGATGCATGGTCAACATTTTCCAGTAGTTGAGGGTGAGTTCCCTCGCGTGTGGTGAAATGCCTTGGACTTTGAAGTACCAGAACCTCTCGGGTGTGGACTCCGAGCTCTGCACTCTTGTCCCTACCCCTTCATCCCCTTAGAAGCTGGTCCTGTGGCTTCCACCCACAGGCTCTGACAGACTCAGGCTCCGGCGGTTCCGGCGAGGTCCCTCTCCTTTAGTCAGAGCCCCACCCCATCCGGGCTCACTGCCCCTCTCCTCCCCAGGCTCAGCACCCCGCCCCCTTCAGACCCCTTCCCCTAGGCTCTGCACCTGTCCAAGGCAGGCCCCGCCCTACTCAGGCAGGCTTTAGCACTCCGCCCTTCTAGGCGCCCGCCCTCCCAGGCAGGCTTCAGCCCTCCGGGACTTAACGCGCTGCCCCTTCCCAGACAAGCCTGGTCCCACCCAGGCTTAGTGCAGTGTCCCTACGGTCGCTCCCCACCCTCCTCCGTGCCTGGTGGGTCTTCCACCTGCAGGGTGTGTGTGTGCTTGCTCTGGAGCAGAGCCAGGTGAAGGGTACAGGCACCAGCGTGAAATCGGCAAAGCCGCTCGGCTGGTTGTGGTGTTCTTACTGTCACCGGTGCAAACAGTTGAAGGGAAGGCCTTCAAACACCAGTCTCTCTCTCTTTTACATATATGAGAGCGCTATCTGCACGCCAGAAGAGGGCATCAGATCCCAGTATAGATGGTTGGGAGCCACCATGCGGTTGGTGGGAATCGAACTCAGGACCTCTGGAAGAGACAGTGCTCCTAAACACCTAGCCATCTCTCCAGCCCTACTAAGGCGATCTTGACCTGAGATTTGCTAGGTCATGGGCCCTACGGGAAAACCTACTATTATTCTGCTTAACGAATGTGGCAATAAAATGACCCCCTAGTGGCATATACTGTTGCAGCCATAGATCAGTGCATCCCTCAGCCCTCATCAGAGAAGCTTTGTAGAGGAATGTTAAATCAGAGCATGGCTGCTCCAGTGAGAGGTCGCATCCAAAGACCTTCTTGGTCTGTGTGATCCGGCTGGAAAACAAACACACCTCTAATCCAGGAGACAGAGGCAAGCAGATCTGAGTTCAAGGCCAGTCTGGTATAGAGCAAGTTTCAGGTAAAGAAAAGCTTAGGTGTGGTGGTACACACCTTCAATCCCAAACAAAGAAGGTAAAGAAAGTTTGTAGAAGGAAGCATCCATGTTTGAAAATGATATTTAATTGAGGCAGAGACAGTGATGAATCAGAGAAAGAATAGGATATGCCCAACTCTTAATGAGAAGAGAGAGGTAAGGGAAGCTACTTAAGGAGCAACACTGAGAATGAGAGAGAGAGAGAGAGAGAGAGAGAGAGAGAGAGAGAGGAGGCAGTTTTAACAGAACAAGAACAGAGAGACAGGTTGCAGAGACAGAACTCAGGTGAGGAAAGAACAGGCCAGAGAATGAGAAGGAGCCAGGAGATCAGATTGAGGAGTTAGTTTGAGGCCAAGCAGAGCAATTTAGAGAGAGAAGCCAGATTGAGTTGTTAGCTGGAAGAGGAGATTGAACCAGAGCAGCCGAGTTGAACTGGCCAGCTAAGAGCTCAATACGGAATAAAGTGTAATTAATTTTAAAAAATCAGATTAAATAAAATAAAATAAAAAATAAATAAATAGATAAATAGATAAATAGCTCAGTAAAAACTAGAATGGATGAACTTACTTAGCTGTAAGTCTCAGAGGCAGAAAACATTCTAGGCCTAGATTAGCAGAAGGAGGCAGGAAGCCTCCCAAACAACAAGTGAACCAGGAGAATAAAAGTTCCCTTTACATATAAGCTTCTAGCAGTATGAGGAATTAACAGAGACCCACAGCTCTCTGAGGGACTTTGGGGCACTTAGCTCTAAATGGGAGATTTTTTTTTTTTTAATTCATACCCTCAAGGCATAGGGATCTATTCCAAAAAGACTGTAAGAGCCGGAGATGGTACATGACTCTAAAGGAAACTACATTTTCCAGACTCAACAGGACAAATGTACATATGAGCTCACGGAGACTGTGACAGCATACACACGCCTGCACGATCCCAAACCGGACAAAAATCCCAGCCTGCAGAAGTCTACATTTTGCAGCTGATACTGGCTAGGAAAGGGGAGATCAGTTTTCTTCAATGGAGTGATGCTGGGCATATCCACAGTACTCGGGAACCTCTTGCTCAGGAGTATCTGGCCAACTCAAATCTGACTCCAAGGGTATTTTTGCTTGTGTTTTGTTTTGTTTTTAAGAGAAAGAGCATGAAGTTGGGTGGGAAAGGAGGAATAGAAAATTTGGGAGGAACTAGGGAGGGAAAAGAACATGATCAAAATATATTGTATAAAATTATCAAAGAATAGAGCCAGGTGGTGGTGGCACACGCCTTTAATCCCAGCACTCAGGAGGCAGACACAGGTGGAGCTCTGAGTTCAGGCTGGTCTCCACTCCAGAGTGAGTTCCAGGACAGCCAGAGCTACACAGGGAAACCCTGTCTTGAAAAACCAAACAACAAAACAAAACAAAAAAAAGCTAAGAGAATAAAGGAAATATTTTCAAATGGCCAGTGTTTGTGGTATAAATGTGCTTAGGAAACCCCATCATGCTGGATACCTTACTTACTAATGTATACCGTCGGAGGCACACAACAGAACTGTAAATATTTAAATAAGTAAACCACATTTTAAGGAAAAACACAAAAGACAGGCTTGCAGCAGGCCATGCTAACCATCAGATGTATATAATATGATATAACTTTAATTATTTGTGAAAATTGCATGGGTATGGATGTTTTGCCTGCATGTATGTCTATGCACCACATGTGCACAATGCCTGTGGAGTCCAGAAGAGGGGGGTGGGAGCCAGGCAGTGGTGGCACAT